CACAGCGAGAAGTGTAAAAAAAAAAAAAAAAAAATTGAAAAATAAAAAAAAAGAAAACAGCTATCATAAAACAAATTTGTTTTTAATTTAATTAAAAAAATATCTGATTTATAATTCTTCGCAATAGGCGATTTTCGCAGTACTTTTGTTTCTCCACAAATGTTACATATATAATAAATGTACATATTTATATATGCGTTTATACTTTTATGCATTTTATATACACATCCTCACATCCACTGCTGTGTTTCGCAATTTTGTAAAATATTGTATTGCTGAATTGACTGTGGTTTAATTTTTTCCCGCTTCCTGATTTATTTCATTCATATTGAATTTTTATTTCCCCCTTTGGTATATTTTTGTTCTGCAGCTGGGCAAATATACCAAAGTTTTTTTCCTCCCATTATCATGCGCCTTGCCGTTTGAGTTTGAAGGGTCCCTGCCCCACCCCCTTATTAAACATTCATGCAAATATATAAGCACGCACAAACTTGTTCACGTACGCAAAGGCATATAACCACTTGTACCAAAAGTGTACCCTTATTGTTATACATACGTATGTGCAAATATATGTACATATACATGTGAACTGCTCTTAACACTGAGGGAATTTTTTTTTTTTTAAATGAATAACATACGAAAAAGAAATGGTAAGTGGAAGTAAAAACGGACACAGGTTGTAGAATGAGAAGAGGCGCAAAAAATGTGGAAAACAGCGAGGAGCCAACCCAGGACAGCTATATATAACACCGTTGCAAATAGTGAAAAACTGCATACACCTTTTCCAACTGCTAGAAGTGATCATTTCCTGATAATAACTGTATGCACTTTTTTTTTCCTCTCCCCTCTCATGTAGATGCAAAAAGTTATTACAAGTTTAAGGAAACGGATGAGGTAAGCTTGAACAATGAACGAGCCTGTTGTGCTAGAGCCCCTCATGAGGGGGGAAATTCGTGCAAGTCTCATTACACATTGGAAGGGGGGAGATCATAAATGTTAAGATTGTCTGCGCATTTTTAGATAGGAGTGTTTGGTGTTCCAGGGGGGGTGCATACACGACACATATATCATGTTTGTATATTCTTATTTTTTTTTCCCCCCCTTGAAGGATAAAAACGTCAGTGGAGGCGTGAGCAGGTCACAGTCGTATGGTAAGTATGCTGGAGGAAGAAGACAATTCCGTTGGCGAGAGGGTGAAAAAAAATAGCGTTAGCGAGCGTGTGATTCATTTGCTTACTCGCCGCTTTTTTGTGTGTGTTCATTTCACTCCCCCCGTTTGTTGCACACCATGGCCATTTTTTTTTTTTTTTTTTCGCAACCCCTCTTTATAGAGAACACCCAGATAATCCCAAAGTACGACTTTGAAACTGATCGAGAAGAAAAAAGTCTAATAAGTAATATATTTTCCACAAGGAAACCCAAACATGCGGGTGCCGGATTAGTGTCAGGGTTAAAATCAGTAACAAAAGGGATAATCGTGGGGACAAGTTTTTTGTTTATATCTCCCTATTTATGTGCCAAAGCCGAAGGAATTAATGGTTTCTTCAAAGGGATGTTTTTTGGTCTGCTAAGTGCAATAGTGATCCCGATTATTTCCCTGGGAGTGGCTAGCTACCAAATTGGCAGGGGTATAATGAACACCCCAGAATCGATAGCTCAGAAGGCGCTCGGCAAAATC